TGGCATTAAAAAATATAGATTTTCGGGAAATGAGCGCCAGTGTAACATGTGAATACTATCTCACATCCTTGACTGTGAGCAGTTCGTGAGTGTAGTGAGCACCTAGTGAGAAACAGTCTTTAATTGTCAAAAACATGTTTTGAAATTATTCAATTTTCATTCTATAATAAACAAAATATTTTGTTTCATCATCCATAAGTTTTTATACAACGAAAATAAATTCGCATTCGATTTTTCTTTTTTTTTTTTAGCATATGATGTACCCAAAATGTTTTTCTTTTATTTTTTATATTTTGTTGCTGTTCTTCTTCCACATCCAAAATAAGTGCGATTTTAATTATTGAACATTTTTTAAGAACGCGGATCGCGATGCTACAAGCAAAAATACTCTGAAAAAACACTCATGCACGATTGCCTGTTGTACGTTGGAAAAACTGGTCGAATATGACGATGACATGACCCGATAGTGTGAATGCTTTGAAAAGGATTTGATCTTGACCGGACCGTGACTTGACCGTGTCTTGTCCGGCTAATGTGGATAGACCTTAAAGCTATTTGCATATAAAAAATTTAAAGTTTTTTCTTTCAAAATAAATCAAAAATAAACTTTAAAATTGGGGTACTACGAAACCCCTATATGCTCTACTCTAAAGCCAAGTAAATACTCCTGTTAATGATTAAAATTTGTACAGAATTACTAACGATAAGTAAGTATGATAAACTTGTGTGGCCGTAAAGTAAATATGGCCGTAAAGTAAATGCGACCAAAAAATTACACTTTAGGGATGTTAATAAATCCGTAAAATATAATTTTTTATAAAAGTTATTAAAACTATTGCACACTGAAAAAATTGCAATGTTACGGACTCTTAATACACTTCCAAAACATTTAATATTTTTATAAACAATACCAGATATTTTTTAAATAAAGTAAAATTGCAATCAACTGAAATTTTTGTTTTAATTTTACTTAATATTATGAAAATTTTATGAATAAAATTTCATATTAACAAGTAATTATTATAAATTATTTTTTTTTTAATATAGGTTAGGGTATTAACAGTGGCAAAACAAACAAAAAAAAAACAGAAACAAAAAAAATAGAAACGAAAACAAGCAAAAACCAAAAACAGACAAAAAAGCAAAAACAAGCAAAAAACATGAGCTAGAAAAAACCTATTATAGGACTGTTAACTGTAAAATATTGTAAGGATAGAACTTAAAATTGAATTAACACAAAATTAACTTTTTTAAAATGAATTAAAGATTGACTGACCAGTTGGTTTTGAAACCAGTGCCAAACAGAAATACATACACACCCATACAACAGTGGCGGCTGGTGCATAAGTTCTGTAGATTTGCAGAACTGCCAAAAAATTTAACATATTATCCACATTTCACAGAAATTATTTTAGATATTCTAAAATATACGTAATATATTTTATTCATTAAATAGGGTGTGTTCAGGCACCGCTTGGGTCACCCACGCTCATCGTTTTCATTAGTTGTTCTAGCATTCTTGGTAGGCATATGCCTGTCAAAAAGATTAATTAACAAGTTTGTGAACAGCAAAACTTCTTGTCAACAGTATTGTGATCAAAAATAAAAACGGTGCATTAAAAAATTTTAAAGTACAATTGTTCAATACACCTTTTTTTATTTTTAATCAAAATACTGTTGACAAGAAAGTTTTGCTGTTCGCAAAATTGTTACTTTTCTTTTTTGACATGCATAGGGCCTATCAAGACTACTAGAAAAATTAAAGGAGATGATGAGCGGTCAGGTGGCCTAAGTTATTTACTATTTAATATTTAAAATAAATGAAAATTAATGAGATAATCAATAAAATCCCTTTTGTACCAGTAAAATACACTATACTCTTTTCTTAAATCCAGGAAAATAAAGCATATATAAATATTGAAATCAATTCAGAGACTTTTTTTGGTACAACTTGAATAAAAAATTTTGGTTAAATAGTAATTTGTGTTAATTATAAAATTTGATTGAACTACTTACTAGAAAATAGGAATTATATAAATACTTACTTCCTATTTTTCTGAGATTCCATTAAAAAATTTATTTTGAAGAAAGAATGATAATTAAACTTAAATCACCTTTTACTAGCTGCAAGTAGTGCAGGTACCCAGAAGCGAGAAAAAGACATTCATTAAAAAATGTAAAAATTGTTGTTATACTTCTTCTTTTGTACTGTGCTGATCTTGTATTTTTTAATACCCAGCCATTTACAAAAACGTATTTCGAAAAATGCACTTTCGTCGATTAATTCCTACCTGTTTGTTTTTCTTAGCTAAAATCTATTTCCATTATGTAGATATCATTTAAAATAATAAACCATAAACGTATGAGTCCCCCAACGCAAAGCCAATGTCAATCAATAATTGATGGCCCATAAACCATGTAAATATAATGGCCTTTCAAAATTTCCCCATCAATTGAGGCAATGGGCCATCAGTTTCCCAGCAGTTGATTGTTTGTTGGGATAAGTCAACTCATAAATCAAGTATTAAATTAAATGGTAAATCATTAGAACAAAATAATTATAATAAACAAATGGATGGCTATAAATTTGTTTTGCCTTTGACAGAATTATAGAAACGGTGAAGATCCACAAATTCAACGACAGTGGGTGGGGTGCTGTTCATAACGTGCTTGGTCTATAATTCTACTACGTTTTAATGCTGAAATGATGCACTTAATTTGAAATAAAAAATCTTTTAATATTGTCATGTTCGACTTATTTTTCTGGATATAGCTGTGGCAAATTCTCAAAATAATTCAAACCTACGACCTTGTTCAATGAAAGTGTCGAAATGTTCTCGTATGGTTTGATATAATAACGATTATTGAGATTTCTTTAATAACTGTTTTGTTTTCACATAAAAATTGTAATTATAAAATTTTAATTTTAATTTTGTTATAATTTTCAGTTACAATGGACTGGAGGAGCATAGGAATAGGTAAGGAATTTTATCTTTTATGTTAGTGTTAATTTTTTACTCTGGTTTGTATGTACCAATCATTTGCCCTGTTATGAAAATAGGTAGAATTGTCGAAATATAATGTATATATATACATTGCAATAGATGACAGAACTTGAATGTATTAGTAGAAGCCGGAAACTAAGCACTAATAAACTAGTTGGCAGTGTCTGCTTGTTCAAAAGTGCTGTAGGTCTGCATAACTGCCAAAAAAAATGCAAGTATATCATCTACATTTCACAGAAATTATTTTAGATATTCTAAAATATACGTAATATAGATTTTTATGGAAAATCTAATTAATTTTAATTTTATTTTATACATTAAATAGAAAACAGTTTGTGCAGTATACCGTTTGGGCAACCCAAGCTCATCGTTTCCTCTAGTTATTTTATTAAACAGTATTTATGTCAAAAATAAAAAAAGGTGTATTGAAAAATTTTGAAGTAGAATTGTTCATTGTACCTTTTAATTTTTGATCAAAATATTGTTGACAAGAACGTTTTGCTGTTCCCAAACTTGTTAATTTTTTTTGATAGACATATGCCAATCAATACTACTAGAACAACCAAAAAAGACAATAAGTGGGCGGGCAGCCCAAGCGGTGCAGTGCACACATACTATTTACTATTTAATAATTAAATTTAAACTAAAATTAATGAGATTATCCATAAAATAAATCTATTTAAAGTATATTTTAGAATGTCTAAATTAATTTCTGTGAAATAGAGATGAAATACTTGATTTTTTCGAGTTCTGTAGCTCTATAGCACTTATGCACCAGTCGCCACTGCTGTTTGGGTGTTCCAAAATGAAAGGAATCCAAAAAAAGGGTTAAAAATTGTGAATTTAATAAATAGTAGATCACAAATCGAAATCTGGATTTCGATTTGCTATAAATGATATATTAAATTAACAAATTTCATACTAATGTTTACGTCGCTTAACGTATAGTGAAAAGTTAATTCACGTAAACGAAGATATGGGCTTAGTATGCATCAATGCATTTCTCGTATATACCTATGCCGTAGAGAGGTATTTGAAGATTTTAAAACGAGCCTGAAACGGCGTCTGGCCCGAATTAGTACATTAAGTTTCTGTATAGGAATCTCGATAGTCAATATCGTCATGGTCTAGGAGCATTTGTCTAGAGAACAAAGATGTCTGGGTTTAAATTAAGGCTCGCCCAGGCTATTTTTCAAATTTGCAATTATTTGTTGTCACCTTTGGGATTCGGAGATTTGTTTCCCACTTTTCAAATTATTCCGAAAGAAAGTTGTTAATTCACGAAGCACTTCAAAAAAATAATTGTCTATTTATTTGGTTGTACTGGACATGCCGCAACCATTCCCTTAGTAGACACACAAAGACCAGTTAATGCTAATTGGTATACTAAAACAATTGGTTTGCCAGAAAACAGATGTAATCAGAAAAAATATCCAAATACTTCTCATCATCCTTCATTATAACTTGTCGTGTAATAATATTAATTTAATTATTGTAACAGTTTTAGCAATAATATCAATGTAATAAGGCTAAAAGCCTGTTTGGGTTGTGAAATAAATAAATAAAATAAATAAATAACAATATCAGCTCTCACACAGCATGTCCAACTATTGGCAGTATTTTCATCACCTCCAAAAGCTGTGGTGACCGAATCAAGAAATTCGGTAACAAAAATAAACCTAACACCGTGCTGAAGTCTGCCGAACCGAAACGACGTTAGACGATGCACGGCTTTCAACGCCGCACCGCTGTGCCGGTTGGCTACCATAGTCATGGTAGCAGTTTACATGTCTCCGAATCCAAAATTGGACGAGGTAGAGCATTTTATTCATCGCACTTTACTGGAGTACACTGAAGAAGAGTCGAAAATACTTGGAACAAATGGTAATAAATTTCCATTTATCTTTGCTGGCAATTTCAACATCAACTTTGCTGATAAAAAATCAGAGCGGTTGACAACTTTTCTTTCGGAAAAATTGAATTTGAAAATGAATAATGATCCACAAGAATCCACAACAAAATATGGGACCACCATTGAAGCGGTATTTTCCAGGTATTTAGAGGATATCAAGTCTCAAATTTATGTTTCTTATTTCAGTTACCATAAACCTATAGTTTCAATGATAAAAATTCCTGAATAACCCACATGTATTGTAAGATAATAAAAATATTTTAAACAATATTAACTCATTTATTCAATAAAAGAAAAAAAAATTGTTTTCGTATCGGTCACCACGCTCAAAAAGTGCAACTTTAATTAATATTAAAGAAAAAAAAATACTACATAAATAAAATAAATAAATAATTATAATTGCATAAGTTGATAAAAAATGCTATGCAATAGCTTTACCGCGGCAGTCCATGAGTGCCACACGTATTTTTTTTAATCATGTTTTAGAAGACTATCTTCAGAATGGAAAAAGATGATTCGAGAATTGGTTTGAATGGGTATAGGTATAAAACATAAAGGCAAATTTGTAACCACCTAAGTATGCGCATTTCCTAACGAATATTATAATATAATTTACAAGAAAGGACCATTTCCAAGCCGTATAATAAAATGAATGTACTAAGCCACACAGGTTATAAGCATGGGCGTCGTTACACAATTCTATTGGGAGGGACAAAATTTAACAAAAAAAAAAAATAGAATTATTATTTGTTGGAAAACGAAGGTGTGATATAAAAAAAAAACAGGAACAAGAAGACAGAACGATAATTATAATAAAAAAATATTTATAGAAATACGAAAACATAAAAACTCACTCCAACACGTCGACGAACACAAACAAAAACTTTAGGAAATGGCAAATTTGAAAATTCATCTTTCTCTACCAAAAATATCAATAAAATAAGACATAATTTCTTTGTTGTTTTCTGTACACTCATCATGTATAGCCCAGCCCCAGTCGCCTATTTTCATTTATTGTAGATCGCAGCCATGTTCAGCTCATTGTGTGCAGGAAGCTCTTTCGTAGTCCACTTAGCTATCCATATTTGGTATTCAGCTTCAAAATTGTCGATTCCAAATTTGTCCACTATTTTCATTTTCGGATCGGTACTAAGAAAAATTATAATTTTTTATGTTTTTGGGATTTAACAGGCTTAAATAACCTATAGTACCTACCTAACAAAATATCAGTAATTCATATATTACACGTTGTTAAAAAGCCAGGTATGGGCAACTGCCCCCCTTGCCCCCTCCAATCGGCGCCCATGGTTATAAGAATGAGAAAAAATTACACCAAAATCACTGCAGAATAAAAGATTACCAGCAAATGCTCTGCTATTTAAAAATTTATTTTTTACGAATTAAGCAGATTGATAAAATGTTAAGGTCATAAAAAAAGAACACTCTTCTATTGAATTATCATGTGGAACGATGAATCGTCACAGTTGATTAGGTAATTAATTGAAAAAAATGTTGATGTTAATTGGTAAACTATTTTTTGAATTCTTACCCATTGTTATGGGTTCGATGCTTTAAATAAGCGTTCCAAACCTACTAATACCGTGTGAACTACGATATACAGAGAGTCTGTAATTTGGAATAAATTCAATAGTTCACATACTAATGGTTTTTTTTTTTGAAAATACAAGAATAATGTATATAGGGTGTCCCAATTTAGATATATGACGTCATCGTTAATTTTGTTAAATGGCACACTGTCATTTTGATGGCTATTTTTATAGGGTTTGTAGAGTTGTAGGTACATAACTGCCAAATATCATATTTTTATTCCTTACCAATTACAAGATTATAAAATGTAACAAATTTATGAAAATTAAGTAATCACATCTATTGAATTTAATTATTTCAATTAAGCAAATGCTCATAATGTTGTTCATTGAATATTTGACATTATCCTAAATGCGATCGAAATTCGATTTAAACATTTCTAATAACTTCGGGCGAAATTAATCTACACTCATTGATATTCGTCCTTTTAGCTCCTTAATATTTGGTCTTTGCTCTTCAAGTACCCTCATAAAAAATGTCCAAAGGATTGTGATCTGGGGACCTCGGTGGCCATTCAATAGGTCCCCTTCTACCTATCCATCTGCCTGGAAATACAGCATCAAGATACACACGAACAGTTCTTGCGAAATGGAGAGGCGCACCATCTTAGGCTTAGGAAACAAATTAGCCAATTGCGGCACTATTTCTTCTTGCAAGAATTCCAAATATTGTACTCCATTGAGAGTTTCGGCAAAGAATATTGTTCCTTTAATTTGATTTCCTACAATCCCTGCCCAAATATTCACTCTTTCTGGGCGTTGAGTATGGTCTTCCCTCATCCCCTCATTCTCATTTAACAAAAACTTAGATTCATCAGAAAACAATGTTCTCTACTAGAATGTTGTTCGTGTCTAGTTGATCCATAATTTTTTCACAAAACTGCAGTCTTCTATCAGGATCATCTTAAGAATTTGTGCTACTGACGACTGGCTAATTTCAACACAATTAAATATCTGCCTGGTAGAGATATTAGGATTTTCTTGAACAAATAGCTCATTCATTTTGATTTCTTCACTAAGGGCAATCTGTCGATAAGTACTTGTTTTTTTTTACATGCCCGTTTACTTACAGTACTTTGCGATATGGGTGGCAGGTCGGGATATTGTTTTCTGAATAGATGCGTAACTTCTGTTTGTGTTCTCGCTCTATCTCCATCCAATCATTTGTAAAATTTCAATCTTGAGCTTTTCAGTTAAATAAACCTTAATGAACGATCTGTATAATAATAATCGATATGTATTTTTAATCTTCAAAACATCATGGCTTATCTAAACGTTAGATACGCACCTTCACACAAAAACAATGAAACTGCTTGTTGACGACCACAGCAATTCAGTTACTGCAGTACAAAATTCCCACTCAAGGCAAGTGCCCACTACAAATATTCGCAATATGGAACAAGAATCAGGCAAGACCTGGACTTGCCTGTTTCTTGAGCCAAATCGGCTAAACAAGCAAATTCTTTCCACTAATATGCCACGGACATGCCTGAATCTTGCCTCAAAAGATGCGCAACACGTTGACCTTTATGGGTTGACGTGTTTAAATCATTTTACGTAAAAAATGGACTTGCCTGGTTCTCGCACCAAGGTCTTCAATTTTACTAAAAATCGGGATTTTAATTTTGTCATGACGAAAGTAAATCTCTTCGTCTATATACATTTTCGAAGGGGGTGGTAGAGGGCTTAAAACATATTTATAAAATTTCGAATAAATAACATCCAGTGAATATGTTTAAACACAGCTTTTCTTAATGGGTATACCTAATTAAAATCTTGAAAGAGTAAAACCAAATTTGGTAGATTTTCAGCAATAATTTAAGTAAACATTGTCTGTATTGGCATAGATATGTTGACGATATATTGACTGCTTTTACTGGTACTAGTAAACAGTTAAATTCTTTATTAGTTTTTATTAATACTATACACCCTAATATTAAATTTACTATGGAAACAGAGAAGGATAATTCAATTAATTTTTTAGACTTAAATATTATTAAAAATAATAAAGGCCATAGTTTTGGGATATTTCATAAGCCATCACATACTGATATTACAATAAATAATAGTTCATCTCATCCATACAAACAAAGGCAGCATACAACAGTATGATCCATAGATTAGTTAATATTCCCCTTACCAAAGAGAACTTCACAAAAGAATTAAATATCATTAAACAAATCGCAATAAATAATAATTTTAATTCAAAGTTAGGAGACAACATTTTAGAGAAAAAACTTTTTAAACAGGCTATTCAAACAAGTTTATCCCATAATTAAAGATCAAAATTGCAGATATAAGAGTCTTACATATATAGGAGCTTCTAGTGAAAAGGTATCATCATATTTAAAAAACCAAAATATTAACGTAGCTTTTAAAACCAATAATACGCTTGGGAAGTATATTAAAAACAATAAGGCTAAAATTAATTCTAATAATAAATCGGGGGTATATAAATTAAATTGTGGTAGTTGTCCAAAATTGTATATTGGTCAAACAGGCCGTACTTTCAAAAAACGCTATTCTGAACATTATAATAGCTATACAAAAAACAAAAATAATTCTACTTACTCAAATCATATTTTAGGTGAAAATCATTCTTTTACAGTCAACTTTGAAATTTTACATATAGAAAATAAGAGCCTTAAATTAAACCATTTGAAACACTTGAAATAAATAGATTTAAAAATTCAGATAACTTACTAAATTAGACTAAATTAGATATTAATAATTCACCCTTATTAAATCTCTTTCCTAGTTTTCTGTGAGATAATCCCGGTAATGTGCTACCTTATTGTTATCTGATTGATATTATAATTACCTAAGTACCCTAATTTACTTTAAATAGTTATTTTGTAATGTTATTGATGTTTTTCTTAAGTACTTTGTTTTGTTAAATTATTTCGTATATATATTGGATACCGAATTTAAAATAGTCACATTTGAAAAAGAAGTTGTACTTCGAAACATATGTCATGTTAGTGTTTTTTAAAAATTTTTATATTTTTAAAATAAAAGTGTGAAAATCTACCAAATTTGGTTTTACTCTTTCAAGATTAAATGGATTTTCATCAAGTAAAGGCTGAAACAATAAATAACCTAATTAAAATTTTAACTTTTATTTTTTCGGCCCATCCTAATGTCCAGGCGAATCCGACCGTCTGGTAACTCTAACCTCTGGCCAGCCCAGCAGCGGTACTGTTTTATAGTAATTAATAATTAAAAAAAAATAAATAAATAAATAAAGTACAACCGCTACTGCTGTATCAAATCATTCAAGAAATTAACTTTTTTGCCGAAATAAACTCGTTAATTGTTCACACATAGCTAGTTATACTATACCAAGCATTACCATTATCATCATTTGAGACGATGATGGTAATCTGTGCCAGTTCGCACGATCAAAATAATAGAAACATGTCCCTCAGACCTACATAATGACTGATATTATGTACTAAAATTTAATTTACGCTGGCTGCGCTTAGATTATATAAGTTATCGGTAAATTGATCTTACTAAATATTTCGCATTATGTATGTGAATATTTGTTTATATAGTGTACTGTATTATTATTATTACTCTAGACGGTTTTTTTTGTGGTTTTGTGGTGCATTGTTTAAACAACATCATTGTTTATTTCTTTAACTTTCCAGTAGGAATTGGTTCATGCATTATATTGGGTAAAGATTCTTTATCGGTTATGTGTATCTGAGTTTCGTTAGACTGGCTAGACTACAAACAAAAAATATTACTTAGTATAAGAATGTTTTCGATAAATTTGATAAGATTGTCAAGTTTAAACTTAAGCTAGTAATTAGTTTTATTTATATAGGGTATAAGAACGATAACTTTATGCTTCTAGTAACAAAATTTTAAAAACACGTCAACTTTTTCATACTGTAAAGCGGGGTTATTCTGGACTTTTTTCGGACCTTTTTGGATGTACCATAAAGTGTCCAATAATAAATAAGTTTTATATCGAGTTTGGATAGGTCTACATACAAGCTAATATTACCATGATAAAAAATACGACCCACTTTTATAAAAATTTTTGAAGGTCTGTCCAAAATAACCCTATAGAGCGGGGATATTTCGAAATTGGCCAAAATAACACAGAATATGAAGTTAAACAGCTCAAGGGGATTTTTAGATATAAAAAAAATTAATCTATTTAGTTAGGCATGAAAAAACTCCTTACCAAACACAAAATATTAGTTTTATTGATTTTATTGCAAAAAATTCGAGGACATTTAAGAAACATAAGTACAAATTTTAAAAAATAACGTAAACTTAAATTCTCATTAAATTTAAAAAATTACTCTTCCTGTGCCATTTATTTTTGGACTCTGGAGTATTTTTTATATGTTCTTACAGAACATTGTCTATATCTTTTACATCTAGTGTTAGGAATCGTTCTGTCTTAGAGGATTTTTAAAAAAAATCTACCGTGTAGCAGCACTCTGAATTGGTTTTTGAAATCGAAAATACTTTCCCAACGAAGTAGCATTGTACTTTTTTATATATTCTACCAATACCCTGTCAATTACAATCGTTTTCCTAAGTTCAATCGAAGAATTTGCAGGTGGCACGTTTTATTTAAAGTGTATCAATGGCATATCATCATCACTGCTACTGCTATTTGGTGATTGGTCCCAGGATTTCGAGAATGTTGGCGAGTCATCGAAACTCTCGGGGATAGCAACTTTTTTTTTAATTACACTGGTTGAAGTTACAACATCAGAGGCTGACACACTCTTTCCAGGCTCTACTAAAACTCTCTTGTGTCTCTGTTTTTGTTGTGATTGTGCTTCTGTACTATGAAGCATTTCTTTCAAAATGTCAACCACAGCAGTAGAAACAACATTAACATTATGTATATCTTTGGCGTCTGCTGCTTTAGGTTTAGGGGGAAGTCGTTGCTTTGGCTCGGCAGAATCGAATGGATATAGACCAGTTTTACGGAAACCCGAGATGAAGTTTTTGGAGGCTTTGCCATTTTCATCCAATTTTTGACAACGTTTACTTAGTAGCTGTGGAAAGACATCTTTTAATATCGTAGATATTTTACGCCCTCTTGTTTTCTTCTATTCGGTAAGTATCGCTCGCCAGTACTTCTTTAGAGGAGCGTAGAATACCACATCCAAGGGGTTGCATCAGATGAGCTGAGTTTAGGGGGTAGGGAGATAAAAGATATGTTCATTTCTTGGCATGTTTCTGTGAAAAATGTGAGTATAGGTTGTCGCCAATTAAAATCTGCAATAAAAAAATGGGGAATATTATTAAAATAGCAAAATCTTGAATCTCTAGATTATAAACAAACCTTAGTTCCATCCTTGTTTCTTAAATAAGGGACAACTAAACTATAAAATAATAAATAAAACAGCCACTTCGAGTCCGATTGTAACGCGCTCCTGCAGGTCCAACTATCCCACATATGATCTGCCTTTTAGACTACATATTCAGGCATAAGTTGTCCATCTGCAGTTCCAACATACATTATGCTTATGGCAGCCTTCGTGGAGTTGACTACCCTTTCAGAGTACTTGGTAGCTCTCTTGAATTTAATTTTTTTTGCCTCTGGGTTGGTTTTGTCGAAATTTAATATTAAAGATGGGTCTGTGGTATTAAACATATCTCGGGCATTGTCAAAGAAATTGTCAAAATTTTGCCTATTTACCATCGCACGTGTGGTAGAGATATTCGTAGTAAATCGGTTCGATATTGAGTTTTTATTTCTCTTCAAAAAGTTTGAAGCCCAATCTCGACCGGGTAGATTAATATTAAGCCTCCGTTCATTGCGGCCTTTTCTGTCAAGATAAGACTTGATTAATATCCTTAAGTCAGTAATGTCAAACGGAAAGCCCCAGGAAGCAACCACGTTCAGATGTTCAAGCGGCATTTTTCTTCGTCGCTTGTTTAAATGCAAGGCTTTCCTGCTGTAGGAATAGTGCTTTTTGTCTTAGTTCGTGAAGCTAGTAGACCTTGGCACCCTATATTTTGTAGAAGCCTTATCAAGGCTCAGACCATTATACTGAATATCACGCATGGCGTTTTGGAAGGCTTCTTCCGTATAGTTTCTGTACCGTACCATTTCGTGAATGGCTTAAAATTTTTACGTAAGTGCGAACCGTTTTTATTTTCGGGACCAGAAGAGATTTTTAGCCTAAAAAAGCAAATTCTTTGGTTATTTTAGAAAATGGGGCTATTTTGGAAACGCGGGGCTATTTTAGAAGAATATCTCGTCCAAAATTGCCCCGCTCACCTAAAAACACCATAGTTTTTTCTAAATATATACTGTCCTTAAAACACGTATTATTTCTGTATGAGTAACAACACCCACACAAACTTCTTTGCAAAGCCATAGCTGCATTCACTCATTTTTACTAGTGTGCACTAGTGAAAGTTTGACCATATTTATTTTCTTGCAAAAAACTTGAAATTTCTTACTTTTAAATGTTGTTATATAATTTAGAATATTTTATATAGTTTTTGTAAAAGACACGTGGTAAATTTCCCTTTAAAAGCTCGGCATCATTTTTATAAGGGCTTTATGCTGGCTCTTTGATGGGAAGTTAACAATAATATGGGAAACTGCTGGCCATGTGCTGGCCTTTCACTACTATTGCTGATAAAGTGACGACAGCCTTCTGCCGCCCGTTGTGACAAAAAGTCGACTTACCAATTTTATTTCAAACCCCTACTGAAAGACCACTACTTGAAGTAACGTACTTACGTTTAAAGGTCATTAACCTGCCAAAACAAAATGTTTGTTGGGTGTTCTTAGATAGAATAACTATTAATTTATTTAGTAAATCACCCTGTAATTAATTAAATCGATATTTATACATATTTACGGACAAATTCACCGTGTTGCTGGACACATAAGACGTGTTGCTGTATATTTGATGTACATTTACTGTACAAAATCAAATGCTGGACATACTTTGAAAATGCTGTAAGTACAATAGAACAAAATGCTGTACGTATGGTCACCCTAAATAAGATTAGCCACAAAAAAACAATCGATTAGTTTCCTCCTTTAAAAACCGATAACAAATAAGTACTTATAGCCTTTAAGTTTAACATCCTGTAACTTAGAAACCAATTATATGATTTGACTGGTCAGTCTCATGGACGCCCCTTTTTTGAAAAAGTCCAGAGCTAAAACTTTTATAACATTTGACAGGTAGCAGTGGCGTAGCCACGGAGATCTGGGGATGAGAAACCCCCCCATGGAGGGTCCTTGCGTTACCATCTTCGCTATAATATTGGCGCTGATCGCTATTGACTGTTTGTTTTTATTTTTCTTGATAGAAATATCCCCCATAGTTCTTAGAAACCCCTCTCATGAAAAATATCTGACTATGCCACTGACAGGTAGGTACCTATCCACAAGAAGGTGTTTTACAGCGTCCCCGTAAACTGTAACAGCATGTGAATCACTCTGTATATTTCTAATAGATTTGGTATACTCTGAAAATTAATAAAACATTAACATATATCTGAACTTCGCCCTTTATTTTCAATAATAATTCTTGCATAATTGTTAAAATTATGAAAAAATTGTAAATTTATATTGGAAATAATAATAAAGACGATATTATTATTATTATTATTATTATTATATATACATTTATAGGTATTTACATTTATATCCAACCAAAATATTATACCCGAACCATTATATTTTAATGTTAGAATCTAATATTACGATTAAATATTTGAAAAGTGTTACTTCTGCCATCTAGTGCATACTAGTAGAACTGCGTAAGATATATCAAAACGGTACACAGAAAACTCGACTGCTTTGGTGATGTTTGGCTGAGTTAACGTTAGGTGGGACTACAGAAAAGAATTAGATATTTTTCACCAGGAATGTATTTAATACCATCACATTTTGATCCCCTGTTACTTTTTTAACAATTTTCTTCTGAATTTTATCAAAAAAATCAGTAAATAACGAATATATCTTTTATTTTTCAGTTTTTCTCACCATCGTGGGACATTTATCGGTAAGAATAACACGCATTCGCATAAAAAGACAAAAATAATTTATTTTTTTTTCACTTTAGGCTCAGCAAGGATACAACTACCCCACTCCTTCCAAGCAATTTCCTGCAGGTCCAAGTCGGGATCAAGAAAGACCCGGTGGAGGTAGAAGACCTTCTGGAGGTGGAGGAGGTCCATCGGAAGTACAATATCCGGAAGGAGGTGGTTATCCTTCTGAGGGTCAAGGATATCCTTCCGGAGGACCTGGACCGCAGGGTCAACCAGGTGGTCAAGGACAAGCTGGATATCCTGGACGTGGAAGACCATCTGGACCACAATTTCCACAAGGCAAGTATACAATTATTATAATATATCTAGCTCGAAACCTAATTCTATTTTAGTCGGAGGTTTGTTTTGCTATATTCTCTTGTGTCTCCAATATTTACAATTATTAAAGGGTATAATATCTTTAAATAGTTATTTGTTTACAAAAGCCTTAAAGTTGATCTATTTTTGGCAAAAAAAGATCATACATTTTACGACCTTCATATCTAATTGTTATTATTGTTTATAGGACCAGCAGGCAGTTATCCTGGACAAGAACCTACAGGAACTGGATACCCAAGTGGCGGACCAGGTCAAAGACCAGCAGGAGGTAATATTTTAATTAATTTATAATAAAAACAAAAAAGTCACTTTAAAGCACTATCATTAATAGTACTCTAGGTCCAGTTTTAAAAGAAATATGCAAGAGCAAAATACAAAATTTTTATCATAAAAAAACTTGTATTTAAATATTAGTTTTTATTTGTAATCTTTCATTATTAATTTGTATTCTTTTAGTTTAATTTAATTTACATTTAGCAGGAAGACCTGAACGACCAGGAAGTACACAAGGCTATCCAGAAGGTGATCAAGGTTATCCAAATGGTAGGCCTGGAGTAGAACAAGGCTATCCCACCGGAAGACCGGGAACAGATCAGGCCTATCCTAGTGGAAGACCGGGAGGAGATCAAAGTTATCCAAGTGGACGCCCAGGCGGAGAACAAGGCTACCCAAGCGGAAGACCAGGACAACAAGGCTATCCTACCGTAAGACCAGGAGGTGATCAAGGCTATCCCAGTGGAAGACCAGGAGGTGCTCAAGGCTACCCAAGTGGAAGACCTGGTGGAGATCAAAGTTATCCAAGTGGACGACCAGGCGGAGAACAAGGCTATCCAAGCGGAAGACCAGGGCAACAAGGGTATCCTAGCGGAAGACCAGGAGGAGAGCAGGGCTACCCCAGTGGAAGACCGGGCGGAGATCAAGGCTATCCCAGCAGAAGACCTGGAGGAGATCAAGCTTTCCCTAGCAGTAGACCAAGTGGAGATCAAGGTTATCCTACCGGAAGGCCAGGTAGTGGTCAGGACTATCCGAGCGGTGGACCAGGAGGCCAACAAGGTTTTCCTACTGGCAGACCAGGAGGTGATCAAGGCTATCCAAGCGGTCGACCAGGAGGTATTCAAGGTGGTGGTGTTCCTAGCGGTAGACCAGGTGGAGAACAAGGCTATCCTAGCGGGAGACCAGGGGGAATCGGTACACCTATTGGTGGACAAGGCTATCCAACAGGCACCGAAAGTACTCGACCTGGTACTACGCAGGGTTATCCCGGCCAACAGCAGCGTCCATCAGGATATCCAGGACAACAAGGAGGAGGTGTTCCAGGTCAACCAGGACAGTTTCCAGGACAGGATGGTGGTTTTCCAGGACAGCAAGGTTTTCCAGGACAACCAGGCGGTTTTCCATTCCAAGGCGAAGGAGCATTTCCTGGGCAATCACCCGAAGAGGAAGGCGATTATTCCGCCATACCTGGTGAACCAGACAGAGACTATCCTATATACTCCGAAATACCACAAACTTCTTTCAGTTGTGACCAGCAGCCCTATCCTGGTTACTACGCTGATGTCGAAGCTAGATGCCAAGTGTTTCACATATGCGCCAATAATAAAACATACGATTTTCTCTGTCCAAATGGCACAATATTTCATCAAGAGTATTTGGTATGCGTTTGGTGGAATCAGTTTGATTGCGAGTCTGCTCCGTCTCTTATAGAAGTAAACGCAAATATTTATGATTATTCGATAACGGGCGGTCCACCTGGCAGTTTTCCTTCTCAAGGAGGACGACCAATAGGGCCCGGTGGATATCCTGAAGGAGGTGAAGCATATCCGGGTGAAGGAACTGGTAGTTTTCCTAGTGGGCCAACTGATCAAGGTTATCCCTCCAGTGAACCGCAAGGACAGGGTGGTTATCCGGGTAGCAGACCTGGTCAGGGAGGAAGACCTACTGTTAGACCTGGAATTCAAGGAGGACGACCTCAGGGAACCGGCCAGCAAGGATACCCTAGTGGAACTTCCGATAAAGGATATCCGTCAAGTGAACCGCAAGGACCAGGTGGGTATTTCGAAGGAAAACCAGGCCAAGGTCAAAATGGAAAGCCTAGTATACAGCAACCAAGTGCAGGATATCCAGGTAGGCCCGGGGGTCCAGATCAAGGTGGTTATCCCAGTGCAGGTAGACCCTTTACCCCTCGACCCGGTGGCCAAGTATCCAGTGAAGGTCCAGGATTTCCTAGTTTAGAACCTGGCTATCCCAATACAACGCCTACTATAAGTGGAACCTCAAGTCAAGGTGGATATCCTAGCACGAGGCCGGGTACTCCTTTCAGTGGTGGAAGTGGACAGCAGGAACCTACTAGGGGGTATCTACCTCCTTATCAATGATACTCTTTAGTCAGTACCTCTCTCGTTTTGTATAGTAACTAGGTATTTATATTATATAAGAACAGCCAATTATTTTATTAGAAGGAGTAATTGTAAGAAAAAGTGTAGATAATTATGATAGATTTTTATATTACAATAAATAAAATTTAGTTACAATTATTTTTTTATTAAAAAAACCTTTTGTGTTGATAAAGGGATTTGAATATATTGTTGATTCCTATTATCAAAGCTGCTGCACGAATATCTGTACCAATAGTGAAAAGATCCGTATAGTTGAATATTTTCTGAAAAAAAAATATATTAATAGGAATGACAAAAATTACATTTTGGTGGCTGCGATTTTATAACTGTTAAATAAATAAATTTTGTTAACTGAGCAACTACAAATACATTAGGAATGAATTCGGCTATGCCGTTTTTCAATTTATCCTTATACCAGAATTTGTTTTTCCGTGAAGTGTTACTTTTAATAAATTTAGGAATTGACATCTGAGCACCCATATCTATTTTTTGAACAAATTCTTCATAATTAAGATCAGCGGCGGTTCCTCAATAAGTGCACATGTGCACGTGCACCCCCAAATTAAATGCCTCCTCTTGAAAAAAAACTAGTTAAATCCTGTGATTCTGTCCTGTCATTATTTTAATAATGATTTTTATTTAAAAAACGATTAATTATTTCGTAAACGAAACTCCAAATCGCAAGACGCTATGCGTAACGTGAGAAATCCAGCCGAGAAAAAAAAATACAGCCGTTCGCTTTGCCAGGCGCTCGTCGCGATATCTTCGTACACTGCACATCGGAATATTCGATCTGATTGGTCAATCTTCTCCCTCCCTCACCGCGGCAGTCTAGCGTGACGTTCGATGTTTATACTGGCCCGCGTGCACATGGAATCAGTGCACTTGTAGCTTGCGAGGGGAGCGTAATAATCGGTGTCGCTGTCGAAACGGGAATTTTGATAAAATGACGGACTTTCTTTAATTTGCTAACCCAGATTGACGGTTTGATAGCGTTTAAAGAATGTTTTTTACGTGGTCGTGTGGCACCCAATTTTTTTTTTATCTTACGTTGTGCACCCCCAAAGTATTGAACCACGCGCCGCCGCTGATTAAGATTAATATTTCCGTGGAACAATTTTTGTGTTTCTAAATGAAACGAATTCCAGTTAGCCCTCTTCAAATTCCCTTTTCTGTTAGTCTGAGCAATTATATTTTTAGAAGAGATTGAGATTAAAGTAAGAGTGGGAAGGTGATTAGAACCATATAAATCATTTAGGGTTTCCCATTTCAGAAAATGTCTAATTTATAGAGAGCTGACTGTCAAATCAATAGCTGAAGGTATGGTCTGTAGATTTCCCAAAATGTGATGAAGTGATAGATAACAGAAAAAAGCTTTTATAACCCTCCAGACAAATCCTACACTCTCAAGTATTAGAGAATACAAATGACTAGATGCCATAGTAAAAACAGAAGGGAAAGTTGGAAAATTTATTCTTTATCTCTGAACCAACATTCTCCCATTAAGGAAATTTGGCAAAAAGTTCGTTCATTAAAAAATCAAAATTCTTTAACGATTCCTCCAGTAGACATCGAAACAGCTGAGTGGATACCAGAATTTTATTTGAAACTAGCACCGCCATTCGTTGTCCCATGCAATCCTAATGATTTAGAATTATTAAATAAATCCCTAGCCACTTCAAACAAAAACTCAAAAAACTTATTAACACCATTCTCTGAATGAATTTGAACTGGCATTAACGAAAAATAAGAACTCGTCTCCAGGTTCAGACAATATTCATTATACAATACTAAGTAACCTCTCTAAGATTGATAAACAACTATTAAATACCTTAAAAAAAATATAGGCTAAGAAACTGGACATTTTAAAATTTTGGTCTATTATTTTACCCATACTCAAACCAAATAATGCAGATTTATATAAACCAATAGCACTATAAACTTGTGTTTTAAAAACGTATGAAAAGATGATCAAACTAAGGCTGGAACATTGGATGGAACACAACAATATTTTTGGCTATAGGAGAAACAAGTCTACTTAAGAAAGTATTGCAACCATAACAACTGATATACAAATTGCTATAATATATATATATTATTATATTTCATTAGCTTGTTCCCAACTATGAGCAGTTTTTAAAAGATTGCTGCTGCAAAGTATCTACGCCGGAAACAACAATCTAACACTACTACTATTAAAACACCACTATGGCTTTCGACAAGGTTATTCAACCATCCAACAAGTCTGCAGAATAGTAAAAGAAATATCAAAATGTTTCGAAGAAAATAAATACTGCAATGCTGTATTTCTAGATATCTCACAAGCTTTTGAAAGATGCCTGCTCTTCAAATTAAAAATATGACTCCAGCAACTACTTCCACACAAATCTTACCTCTCAAATAGATACTTCTTTGCACAATTTAACGACCAGCACTTAAACTTAAGTCCTATTAACTACGATGTTTCGCAAGGTAGTGTCCTCTGATTACTACTTTTCTTACTCTACACAGCTGATATACCCGAAATCAATAACACCACGTTTGTTTTCTTTGCTGGCCATATAACAATACTTTCTATAAATGAAGATCCTGTAAGAACTTCAAAAAAACTACATAATCTAGATAAACTTAATGACTGGTACAAATAATGATTAACAAAAATAGAAAAACTAAATCATTCCTAGTAACATTTACCATGCGCCAAAACATCTGAACTTCTATGAGAATGGATAACATACACATATTTGGGAGAAATATCTTAACAAAAAGAAAAAAACTGGATTTAAAGTTTTAGCAAATGTATTGGTTAGGAGGTTTACAATAAAAAGTCTCCCTCAATAACAAAATTCTGCTATATAAATCTATTTGGGATCACGTGCTCCATCTTTGGAACCAAGCGAAACACATTATTGAACATCATCCAAAGATTTCAATTTGAAGGGCTTAAATCGGTAGTACCTACACATTGAAGTAATCAGATAAAATTTAAAGTAACCACGACGTCTTAAAACGAAAACATCAACAACGATCCTATCATAAAAAGACTTGCTAGAACATGGCCTCAAGGTCTATTTTAAAGCTGAAACATCACTGGATGCTTTCGCTGACTCTTATATTGATGTAGATTGTAAATATGCAAAATGACGAACAAAAAAATATTTTTTCTCAAGATTATGTTTTGATTGTCTTATGATCGATTTAAATCTTTAATTATTCACTAATAAGTTAAAAATGTACATACTATTTTAAATTAGGTAGGTACTAAGTGGTTTATACCTTTTCAGCTAAAATGTATTCGAGAGTGTCCAAAATGGCTGCCCTATTGACAATGGACAGGTTAACAATCGCTGATAATGGTGATCCTGTTTGAACTGGCAATTGGGCCTCTTCTTCTAGCTGATATTGTTCTACACCGGTTTTGTTTACACCTAATGATATCCTGTAAAAAAAAATTAATATAATACAAATTATATGTAACATCTCAGTGAATAGAAAACCCCATTTGTAAGTTTTTGGGAGTACTCTTTTATCATTCGTATGGTTAATAATACCTATTTTAGATTTTTATTCGAACTGACTGGCATTGCTAGTGTTTAAGAATGTGGTACCTGTAGGTACTTTTTTTTTAATTTAAATTATATAAATTAGTAGCCTACTTAAGTTTTAGTACCAAATAGCTAAAAGTTATATCGAAATATCACTATTAGTGAAGGAGATTCATCCACTTGTATTTTTATTATTGTCACAATTTACCATTCGTTTAAACGACAAACGATTACTGAAAATAGAAGTGGTCTAGAAAGTTAAATAATGAAAATAAAGCTATTTTCACAGTGCGTATTCGAGCTTCAGTAGAGTAAGATTACTGTTCCCGCCCTTAATTATTAAGACTTCTACTCTTGATATTATCAGTGCCCGTTTAAGGTACTTTTGCACCCGGTGCTACTTGTAATCGCCGCCCTATCTATTAATAATTTATACATCAGACTACTGAATTTATATATTATTTAAAATAAAGATAAAAGGTTAGATCTGGTACTTATATCCATATTCTCTTGTTGTAAAGCCTTATTTACATCATTAGTTCAGTGTAAAATATCTAACCAAAATGTTAAACGAATGCCTTTTTCAAGAAGATCTAATTTCTCGGCAAAAGAAGCCGCTTCAACTCTCATAACACTTTTTTCTTCTCTATTTTGAGATATTTGCTCTAAACATCTTTTTATTAATGCGTAACTGTGTCCTAGGGCTTTAATGGCATCAAATCGTGATGACCATCGTGTAGTGTTAACTCTCTTAGGTAAAAGTTTTTTGTTTTCTGAAACTTTTATAAACTGAGATAACAAGTTCCATTTGTATGAAGATGCCGTAAAAAAGGTGTAAATTTCTTGTACCATCATAAAGAACGCCGTAGATTCCAAGCGGCAGTCTGCTGCATTTTGCACAACTAAATTTAGCGAATGTGCTAAATTGTTTCGTGCCTTAATACGAGCCTGTAACTCAGAGTATTATCCTACAGTCTTTTAAAGATATTTCCATTGATTTCAACATATTCAGGACAGTATCTTCGAGTTCTTTCGCACCATGTCTAACGTTTTCTTGAAACCACACAACCCGCTCAACTAGTAATCCATTCCTATCACAAAATCGCAATATAATTGTGAGCTGGTCATGGTGGGTTATATCTGGCGTAGAATCCACGAAATTTAGCGACTTCATAATTACTAGGTATGTACATGATTTAGTCGAATTATAGGCCTATTCGGGTACTTCAAAAATACATTGAGAATTATCAGAGGACTAGTTGACCAGTGGACAGTTCAATAGTGGTATGCGACGAATAATTTGAAATTCAACGTTTTCACTGGTTCTCGGACGATTTGCATCGAGTTTCAAAGAAACTCGAAAAAACCTTATATTAGTAAGTTTTACCAGAACTGTTTATTGGCAGTTGTTATAGAATTTCACCTGTGATCAGATTATACCCGGGTGCTCTTGTAGAATTAATATATTCTTTGATTCCTTTAAGTGCTACCCTAGGAATATTTATTACTTTTTCGTTCTCTTCTTTAAATAATTCGAGTACTTGTTTTTTATTTGGTTGGAATTTTTTTCGAGATGATCTGCAGATGTATCAGCTTTTTGTTTATTTTAATCTTACCCACTTTTCATTTTCTTCATTTATTGGTGGCATATGTACTTTTGGATATATAATTTAGTATTTAATTTTGGTGTGTTCTGCTTTGAAAAATATGAAATTATATAAAATGTGACAATTTTACTTTCCAGGTAATTTTTCGCTATAGCCATATCTACAAATTTTGTTCGATATATTTCTGTTCACATAAACGAGATCGGTTTTTGGTTGTGAAATCCTTTCAATACGTTTCCAGAATGTTTTTTCGCTCAGGAGCCTGCATATTGCGTCAAACAAGGACAGAGCCATTAATTACCCATTAGAGTAATTACAGCCACTCTAAGAGAAATTTATAAATACATCAAACGATTTGGGTGTAAATGGAAATCTTAAAAGCCATTCCGGTTCTAAGAAAAATATCAAATTGGAAGTGTAGCTTTTGATTGTATTATATATAGACAAGATTTATAGAAAATCTTCCAGAACATTGAATTATAGAAATGTTTTGAGCAAAATCAACTCTTACAAAAATTCCTCCTAAGGAAGCTGGAGCCTTTCACTATTTCACTCATTATTAAAAATGAATTTGGTATTTAATTGGAAAAACCCGAAAAATTCATCATAGTGATAACCAGAGCCCGTATGTTAATAAGGCATTTCAGGTACGGACTTATTTGTCGATTTAAGGTTAAAAATTGTTTATGTATATTGATAAACAGAGCTTGGAGTTAATTCTAAGAAAACTTATGTTCTGGTCTTTAACCCAAATAAATTATGTTCTGATTCAATTAAATTAAATTGGACCCTTGAGGAACTCCACTAGTTGAAGTAAAGTAATTAGAATTGAATCCATTATGACAAACGTTTGCGCTTAGTTAAATATGATTTAAGAAGATGTACATAACTAATATCAAAACCTAAACTAGAAAGCTTCTGCAGAATTATTTTGTTGACTGATTTTATCAAAGGCCTTAGAGAAATCCGGTATAAGCTGGTGGAATTCGCTTTTAAACTCTTTACAAATTTCCTTTCTTAACGCACAGTGTTTGGAACCATTAGGATTGGTTATGTCATAGTATAGGGTAAGTTGTTAATGCAAAAACTTTGGCTTGCAAAACATCCTTGGGACTTACCTATTTCAGACCGTTATGTAATAAACGAATCGACTGCTTATATTAAAAACATTTCTAAACTCTCTTCGTTTATATTCCCAGGTGTTTAATTTACAAAAAGAATATTTGTAAATTGCAACTTCATGGTTTTTCGGACGCTAGTTACTTAGCATACGGATGCTGCGTATAATTAAGGGCTCTTTATGAAGATCACACTGCTTTTTAATTTATTATGACATCTAAATCTAGAGTTATTCCCACTAAAAAAGTTATAACTATTCCAAAACTGGAATTATGTTCCGTGGTACTTTTACCACAATTAATATCCAGATTAGAAAGTATATTTAAAGATCATCTTGTTATATCTGAAACGGTATTATGGTCAGATTCTCAGGTAGCTTTGTCATGGATTAAAGGGCCTCCCACCAAATGGGCTGTGTTTCTACCATTCAAAAACTTACTCACAAAGTTTTTTGGCGGCACATCAATTCTTAGTTAAACCCCGCCGACTTGTTGTCTGGGGGAAAACTTTCATTAAATCACTTGGATTTTTGGATTCATGTCTTTTGTTTTTACTAGATTATAACGCAGACTTATTGTATTACGATTCAGTCATATCATTATACAAATGTCAGAAAATATTTGGCTCACATTTTTCTCGAAGTTTTCATCTCTGAGTTGATTAGAAAGATCTTTGGCCTACATTTTTAAGTTCATTTACAATGTTCGTAATAAAATAAAAATGTATGAACCTCTTACTGCCACAGAACTAAATAACGCACTCATATTTGCTGTAAAAGAAATTTAACAAAACTCATTTAAAAACAAAATAATGTATCTAAAAAAGCGTCAAATTATTATCAACAGATTGCTTTACTCAACCCCTTTTTAGATAAAAATAATATTTTACGGGTAGGAGGCAGAATATTCTATTTTGATCAATACTTTGATCAAAAACACCCCATTCTTCTTCCTTCCAATAGCCATTTTACTTCCTTGGTGTAGCAAAAGGAACACCGAAGATTAGGACATAGTGGTCCTTAAAATGTGCTAGCCAATGTTTGCCTTTAGGCCCATTGACGAACTCCAAGAAATCAAAAGAATAATAAATAAATGTATCATATGTCATAGATTCAAAGCTATAACTGCCCAACAACTTATGGCTGACCTTCCCAAGACTCGTGTATCCCCTTCTTGACTGTTCCAAACTGTCAGCATAGACTTCGGCGGATTCTTTATGATTAAATCATCTTGTCTTAAGAAGGCCCCCATTACTTAGTGTTAAATAGCCTTTTTTGTGAGTTTTTTCTCCAAAGCTATCCATTTGGAACTGGTGCTAATAACCAGCTAAAAGTTATCAGAGTTTCCTATACAAAATTTTTCTTCTGTATATGATTATTTACTCACTTATTTCATTAGGGCGGTCTTTGGGAAGTTGGCATTAAAAGTGTAAATTCTCACTTACTTAAAGTGCTTAGTAACTTCACCTTTACCTTTAAACAGTTGTACATTGTTCTGTCCCAGATTGAGGCCATACTAAATTCAAGATCATTATTTCCCCTCTCTTCAGATCTCACCCCGGGACATTTTTTAATCGCAGCCCCGTTGATGTCACTGCCTGACAAAGATATTTCCCTGACAACCGTTAACAGGCTAAAGTTTTGGCAGCAATGCACCTATGTGCAATAGAATTTTTGAAAGCGGTGGTCAGTAGACTATCTCAACCAACTCCTAAACCGTCCTAAGTGGACTACCCCTCGCAGAGATGTTCAAATCGACATGATGGTACTCCTCAAAGATGATACTCCCCCCTTGAAGTGGCCATTAGCACGGATCGTTGACGTGATCCCTGGTAAAGATGGGAAAGTCCCATCTGTACAAGTCCGCACTGCTTCTAGTGTGTATGTACGCCCTATCGTCAAGATCGTTCCTTTACCCATGACCGAACCTCCTGTCATCCACCATGAATAATCACGTATTCTTAACTGTACATTTGTATATAAACCCCCGCTGAAATAGCCATTGGTTCGCGCCACCATAGTTTTTTTACAGTAAAGACAACAAAGATGGTTCTTACACCAGGCCAATTATCAAAATGATTCTGCTTCCAATTGATGACAACAAATGTGCCCCAAATTAGATACCCTATCACTCTCACTTAGTTTGTACGTTTTCAAAGTTTGATTTCAA